TGTAAACAGCGCGTGCGGTTCTTCCCGGTCTAAGTTTTTCTTGCAATTTTTAATTAAAAACTAAAAACCGAAACGGTGCAGCCGACGGTTTTTCGTCGCTGCCTTGTCCGGTGCGGGCCCCGTGCGCGGCTCCCCCGGGAGCTGGCCGGGTGTCAGCACAGCCCAGCGCCGGGACACCGGGGAAACCGGAGGAGAGCGAAATTTTCACGCCAGGTTTTATTGTCCGGCTTTGCAGGTTTACCCACTTGAGATAATGGTTGGTGAGTATTCAGCCAACAATAGGGCTCCTCTGTTCCCAAGAGTGTTGCTTAAACATGGTAAACGTGGCATGTAATTTTACAGTTCTTTGTAAGGTTTCTGTATTCATATGATTTTAAAATCTCGTACTGAAATAAATGTAGGTTGAATGTTTTGTTGAGGATGTTAAGGGTTTTGTCCCAAATCTGAATCTCCTTCCAAGGAACGTGCGGTGCTGTTCCAGTGCGTATCTAGGTGTTATCATGGCAATATTGGATTCCTTATTGCTCTGCAGCTGTTAAGAGATTATTTGGCAAAAAGGCTGTTGTCCAACAGGAGTAAGGATAAAGATTTAGTTATCCAAATGTTGTGATTTGGTTTCCTTTTATAATCCCATGGTGAGATTTATGTTTTTCCCCAAAGACACAGAAGTAGTAGCCCAGTTCTGGTTCAGTTCATATGAATCTTGGATTTCTGATTCAATTCTCCTTTACATAGCTTCAAAAATTGTTCATGTCTCTTTATGTCTTTATGCATTATTTTTAAGCACATGTAACTTCTTATGTCTGGAAGGGGGTTTGTGAGGGTGGGTAGCGATTGCATAGTGAGTACTCGTGCATGTGAAACTTAGAAAATCTGGAAAATGAAATCAGTGTCATAGAACACGATTTAGTTTCTACTCTTAAACACTTATGTCTTAAGTTTGCATTGGTTGGACACCCTCTGAAGGTCTTCCTTAAGCCAAATGGAGCTGATAAAAATTAATTCTAGGCTTAGAAATAGTTGGACATAGCTGCTTTCAAAACAAAAAGCACTGTAGCTCCTTTCCCAAGTTAAATATGTAGAATAACCTTCAGCATACTGAGCCTGAGGTTGTTTTCTTTTATCTTAAAGAAGAAAATCCAGTTTTATTAGGTAGGCTTGGGCTAAATGGTTAAAAAAAAAAAAAACCCAAAAAAAAACAGAGCAATGCTTTCAGGCAGAAAAGGGTGAAACGAGTGTTGGAAATTGTGTCATTTCCTAGTGTCCTGACATAGGGAGAGGCAGTGGCTGTGTAATGAAAGGCCCTTTTCATGCCACGTAGAGAAAGCTGCCATGCAGGTCAACACAAAGATCCACTATATGCTCAGTTTAGTGTCCAAAAAGATTTTTACTTAGAATGTTTCTCTGTTGTCTGGACATGACTGGAAAAAAAAGCGTCACGCACAGTGCTGTAAAACATCTAGAGTGTAAAACTAAACTGAGCTGTCTGGGTTTCGTATTGGAGTTCGCTGGTATGTTAAGAAAAACTCAAGTTTGAGTGAGCTGGATGGAGGGAGAGGGGAATCAGAAGGATTTTCATTACTTAAATCTGTACTAAAATCTCAGAAAACAAACTCGCTGAAGTAATTTGCTACACATAAGAAGTAGTATGGGGTGGGCTTTTCCCTCAGGTTTTACAGTATTGATTTGCTGAGCTTTGGCTGAAAAGCTTTTTGATTTGTAGCTCTGTGCTTGTGAGAAGAATTAAAACTGCTTGAGCAAATATGACTATGGAGTGCTTATGTGGAGTACTGCAGACATGCTTCTGTACACTATGCTCACTTAATTCTCACTGTGTAGTGTTTGCTTTTATTTTTAAGTGCTATCCTGGACTGACATCCCTGCTAATCCCTGAGTGGACTTTGCAGTACTGTTCGGGCAGGTGAGATTAGATATGTGGAAGATAGGGATGGGTTGTCCTCCAGGCATGATCACTATGTCATCTTGACTATGTAATTCCTTGCAGTGCATGTTTCCTCATTGTAGAGGTACCAGTTCTTCACAGAGCTCTTCTGAGCCTATAGTTATTTTAAAACATGTTAAAAATGCTGAATTGGAAGGCATTAGCCAAGGGAAGTTGGCCATTACAAGGTGTGTATAGGTACATGATGCAGGAATTCTGTATGGGCAGCAGGATGCAAGATAGAAGCCTGAATAATCAAGAAGGCAGGTAGACAAAACTGAAGCTTTTTTCTCTAACCTTCTGTTGTACTAGGTGATTGACTTTTCCAATAAGAACAAATATAGATACAAATAAATACATTTGAAAACTTAGCCCTAAAAATCTGTATGTATTAGAGTTCTGGCTGGATTCATCTTTAGATCCAGAGTTTTCAGTTCTCCATGTTACAAGGGCCAGGACCAAAAGAGGGATGTAGGTAATTGAGATGGGGTTTGAGTTCAAACTATGGAATTTTCCACTTAGGTCTCACCTAATCCAACAGTGTGTTAGAGCTTCACTTTTCCTTTTTTTTGGAATGTGACTTTCCCTAAGCAGCTCGTCTGCATGTATTTAGAACAGCAGCCACAAAGAGGCATGTTCTGCCTGGTTGTACTTGGAGCTACTTTTGTCTTTCTGGCTTGCAGACCATCCTGCAGACCCTGCATGCAGTTCAGATTAATTAGGCATAGGGTTGGAGGTATGGGAGCATGGAACAGGGCAGAAGCTGGCGGAAATTATTCCTGTGTTGCTAGAAATACCCAGCTGGTGTGGCAAATGAGAGGTAGGTATTAAAGTGTCTTGCACAGAGCATGAGGCCGGGCAGTGCTGCTCAGTCTGCCCTGGCATGCAGCTGAGCGTGAGTTGCATAGGTTGTGCTCTCATAACAAGGAGGCCTACGGCCCCCATCTCACAGAGAAAATCCATCCCTGCTGATCCTGCCATGCTAATCACAGTTTCGGAGCCTGGAAGGTCTCTGTTGAAAACATGGCTCCTTTTCTGTGACAGTCCAGCAGGAGTGAGATCCATTTGGTGATTTGGAAGGATGCCATTTACCCACCAAAGTGACGCTCGCTATCTCTGGGTCTGCAGTGAATTTGAGAGTCCCAGCATGGAGCAGAAGATAAAGTGCAAACCTCTGCCTCTGGTATTTTTTTGTTGGCTATCTACTGGCAACTGTCCTGCGTGTTGACTTTAGATAGCCCTCTGCACACTCTAGCCTCGTAGCTCTAGGGAGGAGTATGCTACTGTGTGAAGTGAAGGAGTGGGTTTGCTTGGGTTGAATGGCTTTTGAATTGGAAGGCTGTTCTAGAAATCTCTGAATATTTTTATCTGGGAAGAGAAACCAGTCTAAATGTTAAGCATTGTAGCTGCTTCTATTCTGCTGTGGGTATAATATGGTTAGGATAATTTGCTTAGGCTATTTTGAGACAGTAGGTACGTGGGTTGGTATTGTCTTTCTAGACAGAAGAGCCAAGGGTAGCTCCTCTCTGAGCTAGCAGACAGCTAGAGATATGGCTGTGTATAAAGCATTTTATGGGGCTGATGCACAGCGCATTGGCTACCTCTGTGTGACAGCATCAGAGTTGGAGTGGAAGAATGGAAATTGTATGCTCTGGCTAGCTAAACCGTGGTCTAGGAAGACATTTCCTCTCTGCGTGGCTGTGGGATCAGCGCCTTGTAACGGGGCTGGCTGCAGGAGAAACGGGCATTTTAAGCACCACAGTTCATCTCACTTGTCTCACTTCTCCCCTCACGTGTTTTTTGAGAGACTCACACTGAAGTGTCAGTAACAGTGAATGTTTTATAGACACTTGTGAAATGGTGGTTGGGTGAGCAGATTCTGAGGCAGACTCTTCAGAGGCATCCTCAGCACTGATTTGGCAATTAATTGTCGTAAACATTGTGTAGAACGTGAGCTTGGTTGACATATGCAGTGCACAGGGAAGGTGTAATCAGCACATAAGGAGTGTCTTATTAGCACTCCTGGACTTGAAGTCAGTGCTCAAAAGGGAAGCCTGAGGGTTAGACTTTTCAGGGCTCTCCTGCTGTCTATGGCCTTTACTCCACTGTAGCACCAGGTGAGGGCTTCTGGTTGAAATTTATCAGCTTTAGCACACTAGTGATGGAAGGTATTGGGGCTGGAAGTTTTCTGGAGGATTCTAGATGTTTTCTGGAAGCTGGGAGTGCTGTATGAATGCTGGCAATCCCTGTTGGTATTGTTAAGCTTCATTAGGGCTTTTCTCATCAAGACTTTGCTCGTCCGCATTCAGGCAATATGTTTCCAGTGTTAAATGTGCTTTGATGTAATTGCCTTGTTTTACTGTCTGTGGGCAGCTTGTACTAGAGCATGAGTCTAGCCTAGCAGAATTGTTCTGCCTACCTTCCATTGTGCCCATTAATATGTTTTCTACTTGTATATATTGTTTTGGTCAGATGTAATTTGCTTGATAACCAGCTTGTAAGAAGTGTGAAGAATGTTCTTTGCAGTGTGTCAGTGGCTGAAATAAAGTCACTGTGTAAAGTTTGCACCATCTTAGGTAACAAATCTTTGCAATATTTGGCAGATATAATCACTGTCTTTTAAAAAATAAATATCTAGACCAAGCTACGTAATGGTGGAAATAAACTTGAGTTAATTTTCAGTAGCTGAAGTGACTGTTGGACTACAATAAATGCTGGGCCTATCTCTGCGTGTTGGAACAAGCTGCAGTTAGTGATTTTATCAAGGAAGCCTCCCAGAGAGGCAGTGCTGCTGCATTCTCTTTCATTTCACAGCATTGCCACATTGCCAGCAGCAGGGTTGTTCTATGGGACGTCAGCTTCCCACCTTGCTTAATGGGGATATAATGGGGAGATTCTTTCCAAGTTTGCTTGGAAGCTGCTTTCTCTGTGCTGAACTAACCTTTAGTCCTTGCTTTTCATAAATACTGTATTCACACTGTTAGAAAGTATCACATAACACATTATTTGATGGTTTAATGCAGGTGGTCCTTCTTTGTGTTTTTAGGGAGTCCTTGAGATGGCAGCAATGGCAGAATTCAACAAGGTCCATTCAGTGACTGAAATGCCAGAAGGAGACGATGCTAAACGCAGTTTCCATCACAGGATGTTCTTGGAACCCCAGGAAAAGAAGAAGAGCATGAAGGCTCTGCTGGTTAAGCAAGCAAAGAAAACATGCAGCTGCACTCCAGCCAAAGTTAAAGATTATGTTTTCAGTTTCTTTCCGGTCTTGCAGTGGCTTCCTAAGTACAAACTAAGAGAGTACCTACTGGGAGACATAATGTCTGGTGTGATTGTGGGGGTCTTACTAGTCCCACAGTCAATTGCCTATTCTCTCTTGGCTGGACAAGAGCCTGTTTATGGTCTTTATACATCCTTTTTTGCTAGCATTATTTATTTCATATTTGGAACCTCGCGGCACATCTCAGTTGGCATTTTTGGTGTGATTTGCCTGATGATAGGACAAGTGGTGGATCGTGAAATACAGAGAGCTGGCTATGACCTGGAGCCAGCTGTGCTGGGTGTCCTCACAGATACAGCAGCAAATGTAAACACCACCACTTTGCCTGGGAATCAGACTCTGCAGAAGCTGCTCTGTGATAAAAGCTGCTATGCAATTACAGTGGGAGCCACCATGACCTTCATAGCTGGAGTCTATCAGGTAGGAGGAGGTGGACAAACGGGTATTCTGTAGAACTAGTTTTAACTCTTCTTTAGGTTATTGTCCACATGAACAGCATGCTGGGCTTGCATGTGTCCTCCATCTGTATCCCAGGGGAGTGGACACAGGGAGGACTGGATGTCTCCAGTTACTGTGGTACAAGAAACTCTTCTGTGTCCTCTCCTTTTTTTTTTTAATAGCATTTTGTGCTTGCATGGCTGCTCTTTTGGGGCTGTAAGGACCTGCACATAATGACCTGCTGCTCTCACACAGCCTGTTCACCACCTTCCTTGCTGTGGCCTGAAGCTGCTTTTTTTTTTTTTGTTTTATAGCTTAGGTCTTCATTTCATTGGGTCAAAATCTAGTGTCAGCTTTTAATTCCAGACTTCAGTCACTTTTATCAGGAAACTATCTGGATAGTAAAAGTATCTGGTCCAGTTTCTTTTTATTTATTACAGTGCTAGTAAAAATTGCTGGTTTTCCCTTCAAAGCCAAAACAATGCCATTATATGAAGAGGATACTACTGAGACGGTAGTATAGATTTGAAAACTTTTAATCATTACCATCTTAAATTATATTACTCTACTATAATTTACCATTCTGTCCCTACTTCCTAGAGCTCACTGCTTAGTGAAATTAAAGCAGATATCTTTTATTTTTAGTGTCATGCATTAACCAGAAAGTACTTAATTTTCAAGGTGCTGCAGAGCTGTGGTATTTCAGCGTGGGAGTTCACATTCATTTGTTCTTACCATCACCTCCAAGGTGATAGCTAACCAAACTGTATAGGAGTGAAAAAGGAAGCTTACCTGTGATAGTCTAGAACACTGGGTTTAGGTGCAACCTAGGACTCTCTCTTTCTTGTAGTGAATATTAGTGTTGAGTAATTTTGGAAGTATTCTAGGACTCCTGAGGTACACAGGTTTTTGTTACATCACTGTGGGATGGATTCAGTTTTGGAGTTATGAATTGCATTTAGTATTCTTTGCAAGTACATGTAGAATTAAATTTCTTTATATGAAGAAATCAGATTATTTTAAGTCTCTCTAAATTTTAGGCATATTGTACTTGCTGTCTCTGCTTGCTAGCCAATAGGTCTTCACACCCTCAGGTGTTTTTATAATTGGAAACTCTGACCAAAATCACTTTGTATCGCAAAGTTTACAATCAAATCCCAAAAACGCAAGCCTGCTCACACCAGTTGCTTACAGCATAACTAGGCAAGACAGTTATTCCTAATGTTTTACAGGTAGAAAAACCTTGAATTAACTTAATTACCAAGATTAGCTCTAAAAAAAAATTCGCAATCTCTGACCTGATGTCCAGTCAGTCCAGGTCCCAAACCTGCCTTCTCTTCAGTACTGCTTTGCAGTTCTTCTGAAGGTTTCAGTCATGATCCTAGCTGCATTTAATTTGCCTTAACCGCATCATAGGGTATATCAAATTGACACTATTTAGAGTTTAATACGTGTGTGTTCTGGCCTGAATTCTTCAGATGACGGTGTAGACATCCTTGTTGGCCAGCACAGGGAATTAAAAAGTTTCTAGCACACTGCTGTGAGAAGGTCTGTGCTCTGTTTGGCATGAAGGTTGATGGGGAGGAAAGGACATTTACTAGGTGTGAAGATGTGTAGAGTAGGTATCCTAAAACTAGTCATTTCCATGAAGGTACCAAGGATTTTGTCCATTCAGTTAGCATCATTGAAAGCAAATGACAAGACACTTAAAAAATTATATAATCTACATCACTTAGAGTTTGCGGCTCATATACTTTGTGTCAGATGCTTCAGACTTTATGCAATGCAGAGGATAGCTGTTATGCCATAAGCTGTACTTTAATTGCATGTTGTAAGTGCTAGTGTAAGACAGGCAAAGACAGCCAAGAAAGTTTTGTATCTCTGTAAAGTCCATAGAAATTATAAGAACTTGAGAGAGATGGCAAAAGTAGCCAATATTTCAAATGCATTTTTTCGCCAGGCTTTCTTTTTTGCCCTCTTAAGGTAACAAGGTGTTATAACTGAACCAATGAGCAAACAATAAACACAGATTCAGACTACAAAGACCCCCCCAAAAAACCTGCTGTGTTGGAAATGTGTTTTAAGTGGAGCGCACCAGGTGCAGCTGAATGCTGGAGACTGTTTTCTCCATGCTCAGATCATGCCTTGTCCTCCAGGGCTGTGCGCAGTGTTTTTTCTTTCCCACCTCCCTCCAGAGCAGTGTAGTGGTGACATCTGTGAGATTTGCATCCTAATCTTTGTGGCTGATTCCTTGCAGGTGGCCATGGGTTTATTTCAAGTGGGCTTTGTCTCCGTGTACCTCTCCGATTCATTGCTGAGTGGATTTGTCACAGGTGCCTCCTTCACCATCCTGACCTCACAAGCCAAGTATCTCCTGGGCCTAGACATTCCACGGAGCAGTGGCATTGGGTCCCTCGTAACCACGTGGATAAACATCTTCAGAAACATACACAAGACCAACATCTGCGATCTCATCACCAGCTTCTTGTGCTTTCTTGTGCTTATCCCAACCAAAGAACTTAATGAACATTTTAAATCCAGGCTCAAGGCTCCAATACCAGTTGAACTAGTTGTGATTGTGGCAGCTACTCTGGCATCTCACTTTGGGAAGCTGAGAGAGACTTATGGCTCAAGCATTGCTGGACACATCCCAACTGGGTTTCTGCCACCCCGCCCTCCAGACTGGAACCTGATTCCTAATGTGGCTTTGGATGCTATCCCTATAGCCATTATTGGCTTTGCCATCACTGTCTCCCTCTCAGAGATGTTTGCCAAGAAGCACAGCTACTCTGTGAAGGCCAACCAGGAAATGTATGCCATTGGCTTCTGCAACATCATTCCCTCTTTCTTCCATTGTTTCACAACAAGCGCAGCTCTTGCCAAGACTCTTGTTAAAGAGTCCACAGGCTGTAGGACACAAATGTCTGGCATGGTGACTAGTTTGGTAATCCTGTTAGTCCTTCTTGTGATCGCACCTTTATTTTATTCCCTTCAGAAATGTGTCCTTGCTGTCATAACCATCGTAAACCTCAGAGGAGCCCTGAGGAGGTTCAGGGACCTGCCAAAAATGTGGTATTTGAGCAGAGTGGACACAGTGATCTGGCTAGTTACTATGGCAGCCTCAGCACTCATCAGTACTGAGATTGGTCTTTTGGTTGGCGTTTGCTTCTCTATGCTCTGTGTCATTTTCCGAACCCAGAGGCCAGAGGCGCCGCTGCTTGGCTGGGTGGCAGAGTCCGAGACATACGAATCCCTGTCTGCTTATAAGAACTTGCAAACCAAGCCAGGAATTGTGGTGTTCCGTTTTGAAGCACCCCTCTACTACATCAACAAAGAGTGCTTTAAATCCACCCTGTACAAGCAAACTGGGGTCAACCCTGTCTGGGTGAAAGCAGCAAAGGAAAAGGCAGCAAAAAGAACACCTAGAGAGAAAGAGGAGCATTCTGGTGGTAAACAGACCAGCATCTCCATGGATTTTGCCTCTGAACCACTGGGGTTTCACACGATAGTCATTGACTGTTGTGCAGTACAGTTTCTGGACACGGCAGGAATACGTACGCTCAAAGAGGTCTGCAAGGACTACGGGGAGATAGAGGTCCAGGTGCTACTGGCCCAGTGCAATCCTTCGGTGAGAAGTTCCCTCATCCGAGGAGAATTCTTTAAAGAGGGGGAGGACCACCTTCTCTTCCACAGTGTGCACCAGGCCGTGGACTTTGCATTGGGTGCAGAGGGGCACAGTGGGACCAGTGCTTCTAAGAACTAGTTGTGGAAAGGCAGCAAGTTGGAACAAAGCCTGGGAGAAAAGTGGCTGTGGGTCTGTATGTCTATGCAATATATATGTGCACTTGGATGAAAAGAAGCAGGGTTGCTGTTAACACACTGGTTGCTATGCAGTCGGATTTGGTGCTTTAAATTTGAGTGCCAGGTATAATGATGCAGTAGGTGGTACTGAATGAAGGCAGTTCTTAACTTGATTATGGCTAATCTGTGAATCTAAGAGTGTTCATGTGGTTGTTCATCTTATTTCTCTTCTATCTTGAACTTTTCATGTCTCAGCTTTCCTCAGGGTTTTGAACACCAGCATTGAAGCTTTTATTGCAACTGTGTCTTTATGTATGGGTTGGGATTCTGAAGTAGTCCACACATCCTCTCCAGCTGAATGAGAGGCAGCTTGTGTCTTGTGTCTCATTCTGGCATTGCTTTTCTCTATCACCACACCCTTGAACTTTCTGAGGAGTGACTGGTGGGGACTGTTTGCCCTGGTCTTTACTATGGAGTGATTGGTTGGTGCTTTTGTAACCTCCCTGAATTTGAGACAGATAGGTAAATAAAACCTAGACATGCATGAAGAGGTCTTAAAAGCTTCTAACCACAGATCACCTCCAGAGGCTTTCTCGTTGTCTCCCGAGGGCCTAATGCAGCCAGGCAATGGGGGCATGGTCATCTCGTTTCTACACAGGCCTTTATGAGCCAGGAAAGTTTGCCTCTTTAGCTTGTATTTTGTTTTGTAATTATTCCTGTTTAAGGGTAACTGTTTACTCTGATTCATGCTTATGGTCAGTCATTTTTTTTCCTAATATTTAGGAACTCTTTAGATTTGTGGACATGAGATACTGGGAAAATCTATAATTCTTGGGCTTCTACAGAGAACAGTCCTTTATAGCCAGTTTTATAAGCGAGGCAGATAATCACAGGCACAAAAATTAAAAGACCAAGTTGACTGTCCAGCATCTGTCCAGATTTGTTGATGTCACACAGACCTCATGGGTGGATGCAGGTTTTATTGAACCCTTATGCATGTTCTGTCATGGACTCTATGTAAAGGGGGTGGACAGGCAAAGAAATACAGCTACTGGGAAAGGGGCCCGAAAAACTGAGTTTTGTTATTTCATAGTGTTAGTGTAAATAAAACTTGGTACTTTGATTTTAAATTACGCAGAACAGTGAAGAGTGCCCATTGTAGGATTCTTCCTGCTAAAACACAAGCACTGGGTAGGAAGGGGTTCACTGTTCTTACACCTGTAGAGTAAAATTATTAAGGCAGAATTGAGAGATTAACAGTTTTCTACTGCCTACCAGCCATACACAGTACCTCTGTGAGGAAGGTGGTTTCTCCTAGGGGTGTCTACAGTCTGAACTGCAGGTTCTTCACAGCTTGTAAAAGGGAGAAGATACATGCAATATATACAGATGATAATCTCATTCTTCATTGTTCAAAAATGAGCCAGGAGTCAAAAAAGGAATAAAATACAATCTAAATAGTGAAACATTTTCTGAATAGAAGTATATTTTGAGTTTAGGATTGTTTCCTTTTTCAGCTAGGACCAGTAACTACTCTCTTCTTTCTGTGAAAGCTGACACATCACCTGTTGCTTCACTCTAGGAGCTAGGACCTCAAGAGAAGGACTAGGTAGCAGAAAGATGAGTCCCAGGACCTGGCAACCTCTATATGTTAACCGAACTTGCATATTTTAGGACATCAGAGCAGCATGGCGAAATACCGGTTGAGGTGGGGAGTGTCTGCAGCATATATTGAAAAGGAGCTCAAAACTGAGATCTGTGCATTATGTGTTCTAGAACTGGCGTTGTTACGGAAAAAAGTCTCCAGGATTCAGAGACAAAATGCTAAAGCTTGTATAGTATTCAAAAACCACAAATATTGTTCTTTCTCAGCAGCCAGGTATGTTTATACAAGGAGGTGAATCCTAAGTAGGTACTGCTGAATTTCTTTTCTGCAGTAACCTCCTGCATGAACTTTTTTATTGTGGGCTATGAACCTCTTTTGCAGTTTGGATAATGACAATTACTGAATTTATATTCCCAGTGTGGATTAGCCTAAGATGTATTAAAAGCAGCGCATGGGTTTAACACCTGCATAGGGCTGAGTGCAGGAGGGACATGTTTTAGCTCCTCACCATACCTGTTTTGTGCTGGACTGCATTCAGAGCCCCTGGGTGGCACTGGGAGTGAGCTGGCACACCCGTGGCAGCTCCTGCAGCTGGGTGCCAGCTTGGCAAGGCTTGTCACCACAGAGCAGAGGGCTTGTGCCTGGCCGCCGACGGGCGGCAGGGCAGCGGTACAGATGTCTGCGGTGCGTCTTGGCAGGGCCGTGGCCTAGGGGAGTCCCTTTGCAGCACGGCTTGTTCACACGCCTAGAGGTGCTTTCTGGTACTTTGAACAAAAGCTGTGGTATCAGTTTTTAAATGCTGGTTTTAACTAATATTTTTTCCAGAGAGCAAAACAGTGCTGGAAGCGGTGCTGCCTTCTCAACGCCTTGGTGAAAAATCACAGCACAGCAAACAAGCAGTGTGTGTGGTTACTGCAAATGTTCCTGTCTATCCACAGGAACTTGTTCTGACCCGTTTACCCCTCAGGCTTGGGCAGCTGAGATGCAGAAGAGGAATAAGCACCAGGCAGGAGACTTCACCTAAGACAGGTCAGCCACTGGTGGGATAGAAGGAAAGGAGAAGTTACTCCGGGTGATTCTTCCCTCTTTACACTCAAAGCACCTCTCTTCCACACTCCTTCCATGCTGCCCAAGTGGAGATTTTTTGACTTGTGACCATGCATGGGTTTGTGTAGCCCAATTCCAACTAAGAAGGGGAAAAGAGTGTTTACTAAAAGGGAATTTATCAGTTCCATGTCTACCTGTGCCAGGAGGGAAGGAATAGCAATGCTACTTCCACAAAGTATGCAGTTTCCACAGCTATCAGATGCTTATTTGTTTACATAAAAGCACAATAAATCAGCCATAAATCGATTTTTCAAATAATTCAGATTACAGCTAAATGATATACTGAAGTGATTTATGTTTAGCTAGACCACATCATATCGGTCCTCAGTGCTGTTTGTGCAGCCATGACTGCCATATAGTCTCCAAATTCCATTTCAAGCAAAGCAAACTGTACAAAAATGCAACAGCAGAAGCACACAGCCAATCAAAAAAACAGCTTTTAATGTTCTTGTTTAAGATAATGTCCAGAGGTCATGGCACTAATAAGTCCATGTTAATGTGCACAGCCCTGGTAAAAAGGGAACAGAAATAAACACTGTTTGTCAGAGTTCAGTATAATAGAGTCCTTTGGAATTATTCAAAGATTAGAGCTTATCACAGCTGGAATTCCTTAAAACAGTGGGTTTTCAGCTATTTTCCTTTTAGACATAGAATCATTTTTTAACAGATGTGAATCTGATTTAAGCCTGCTGGCAAGAGGCATGTTTTGCTTGAGTATGTTTATAGACCCCTTAGAAGTAATACAGTCTCACTTTTAGGAGTCAGCAACCACAGACTGAAAACTGTTGCCCTAAACTTGGTTTATGAAGGAATTTTTTTTTTATATATATATGCACACAAATGTATGTGTACATAGATACTTACACCCCCCACACCTTGCTGCTGTATGATGGATGTAACAGATGTGTGTGTATGTATATATATATACAACTTTTTTTCTTTGTTATGGTTTTGTGATACTCCTGTTTCTGTCCTGGAAAGGGCTCTCCTGCCTTCTACTGTTTTAAGTGAACAGAGGAATACATGTACCAGATTTTATCAGGGGAAATCTGTACCTGCTGCCTTCTGTGCCTTCTCTTATCTCTTCCTCACAGTTTAATCTGTAGGAAGAGGGAATCTCAACGACTGCTTTTGGGTTTATGCATCTATCTTGAACTGAATCGTTCATCCCAGGTGCAGCCTTCAGAGCCCCAGGCTGGCTCAGTTGATCTGCATCCCCAAAGGGACTGATCAGCAATTATCTGTCTAAACCAAAAATTAAGAGGTCATTAGCACATTCATTAATGACAACAACACAGCATTATGGAAATTAACACTCACAGTCTTGGCTGTACTAAACACTTCTGGAAATGTCTTTATGAGTCTCTTGCTAAATGTCAGGCTCTTTTTTTATGTTTATTGCTGCTATAGATAGTAACGTTGGTTCCTCCTAATGTGGCAGTTCAGTAATAAATGCTTCGCTTGTGTGAGCCTTTTGACACGGAAACAATTTTCAGTCCACTTCATAAAACAGGGAAGGGTTCTGCAGTGGGACATAGTGCTCATTTTCTGATTTATAATGACACTGCCAACCTTAGTCTTGTGTGATTTAGTGATCCTGATTTCCTTGTAAGGCATTGCAGCTCCATCTGCTCCTTTAGTTCACTGTGAGACCCACCTCCACCTTCTTGACACTTCTTTTTGTTCTGCTCTAAGACCCTGCATATAATTCACATAAAAAGAATCATTGCTGTTGTGTATGTTGCTATTACACGTGACCTGCTACCCTGTTTTCATGCCAGATCTTTTGGTAAGGTAGAGCTCCTGAGCCAAGTGTAAAACAACACCCAAACATGACCAGTTCTCTAGGTCCTAGGGCTGGGAGAAAGGGGGCTGAGGGTACCACAGGGCGTGCTCCACCATGAGCATCCTGGAGCCTTGGCCAAGTGTGGGGCTGTGCCAGGGTTTGTGTGGGTGCTCTGGACAAAGCCACGGTCACTCCTTCATCTGCACTGGCTTCTGCGGCTCGTGCCAAGAGACGTTAGGACGCGCTGCGGGTCTGAAGGGCAGAGAGGCACTGCGGGCAGGAACGCGTCCTGGCGGCTGCACCAGGGCTTGAAGCTGGTCCATACCCTGCTGCCTGCCACAGCCGTGTGCTGAGGTTGGCCATGAGCTCTGCCTGTGCCAGGTCCTAGACCTAGGTCTTACCTGATGGACTCCAGACTTTCTGTGGCAAAACCTCCCTTGAGAAGAGCAGCAATGCTGCACAT